ATTTCAGACAACGAAAAGCAAAAGGAAGCTGTGAAGCGGTTCACCAGTAATGCTCGCATCTGGTATCGATTCTGGATCTGGCATAACCCAAAAGCTAGCTGGTGGAAATTTTTAAAAGCCTTCTTCAAGGAATTTCAACCTAAGGTTTGCTTGGAGGATGATGAGGCCAGAGCAGAGCATGTGAATTTAGAGTCAGAAACGGAATGTTTGAAAGAAAAAAAAAAGGATATGGAAAACAGATCTGAAGATTGGAGGAAGGAAGAGAGGCAACTAGAAAATAGATTTGAAGATTGGAAGAAAAAGGAGAAGCAAGTTGAAGAAAACCATAAAGAGATACTCAGACTTCTTGATAAACTTCTCCGGAAGACAAAGTCTCAATCTCACAGAGGACGGTCACGTACAAGGAGGAGGTGCAAAAATTCTGAGGATAAAGAGATGATGGAAATGCAGGAGGAGGAAGCAGTACCAACGCTTCCAAAACTAGAGATAAAAGTGCAACGAAATTTCTTTTCGGAGGAAACAACGACAGCCAAGAACAAGCATGTGGCGAATGAGGAACAAATCAAAATTCAGAAGGAGAAGATGAAGACCATGGAGGTGAGACAGGCCACAAAAATCGATGGGGATCTCTTGGCATCACAAATAGACCACGTTGTTCACAAAGAAGTGGAAAACCCACTTGCTGTTCGAAGAAAGAAAAAAGGAGATACAAAAATTGGGAACGTTGAGGAAGCCATAGATGAGGGGAATGTTTCCATGAAGAAGGCGCAAGATCCGTTAAAGCCACAACCAATTGAGGAGGTGGAACACCCACCACCATTACCTAAGCTTCCGAACATGGTTGTGAGTTTGGAGGGTTCAGCACTGCATAGCCATGGAAGAAAGAAGCGGCTAGGAACGTGTAAGAGGTTGAAGGAGGATCTGATTAGGGCAAATAAGGAGTTGGGCCATGTTCTATTCTCAGCCCAAATTTTTAATTCAAGAATTAAAGATTTAGCCCAAGTCAAAAAGAATGACTACTTTATGCCTATTTTATGTATGGAGTGGGTCATGGATCCATTGATCCACTTTTTTGCCCAATTGCAATCCCTAATTTTATTAATTTGCAATGGGGATATCCGCAGGGAACGACGTGGGGCGTGATGTGGTGCCTATTTCAGGTGGGGCATTTCTGCCTTCTTCATTCCATGGTGGTGTGAGGTACTCACCATTTTCTTTCACTTTACTGAAGTCGCTGCCATTTGCTCCTTTGGAGTAGCAATCGTCAGCGGTGCAGAACCCAACGATGATGTCAATCTGAACGACTGGGGCAAGAGTGACATAACCACCTTAGAGGAGTCTCACATGACATTAAACACCGGCAAATTTCAGCAGACCTGTAATACCGGATTTGGATCCATTTCCTCATCTCTGATTTTGTGCTCAAGTTCTGAAATTAGAGAAGCGATGGTTCGTGCATTATTTATAAATAAGGCAAGTAGAGATACTGTGGTAATGAATACTTTGCTGCACTTATTTTGTTATTGGGTTTCTCATAGCATAGGGTCCAAGGTAATGGACATAGGTGTTCGATAAAATGCCTAAAAGAAGTGTCCATGAAGGAGATGTTTTGGTTGATGGATATTTTCCAGCTGGAGGTAGACATCTTTATTATATAACTATTGTCACACATGTTCTCTTCATTTAGCAGTTGTCTTCTTTTGTGGCAAGCAAGGGGAATCACCCGAAGGTGGTGGGCATTACTCCTAGAAAACAATACCAAAGAGATGCTACAATTGCTGCATTCTCAAAATTTTCTCATTATAGTGGTGGACTTGGTTTGCTTTTGGAGCTAACAGTTGAACTTTTATATTGGTGTGGATCAGAGGAGTCATGGGATCCCGCGGATATTATTATACTTCGGGCACATGTGGGTCTTTACAATTCAAGCAATGGGATCCCGAAATAAAGTTCTCAAGAGCTGATCTGCACCTTGAGCACAAGGTGTTTAAAGGGGGGGAGTATTGATACGATCTGGCCCAAGATCATGTATGTATAGGAAGGATTAAAATAATGTGGGCCCAGCCTTTGCTGACTCAGCAAATCAGTTTCAACAGAATGGCGTGGGAAGGGAGGTTGAGATGGTTAAATAGCAAGGAAGGAGAAGAGTGAGGGGATCTGGAATCTTTGGGAATTGCTTGGGCCCTTTTGGGATTGGGAGAGAGTGGAACCTCTCATATGTGTTCCACACTATCTTACTTTTCTGCATTGTTGATTTCCTTAGAGTCACTATAATTTCTTATTCCCTGCAAGTGTTTCTGTTAAGGTGTCTCTGTTTGTAATCTTGCTCTTACATATAAGAAGGTTGAATATTCAGATCTCAATTCCTGTGTTAATTCCCTTTTAGCTCTGTTAATTAGTGGTTGGTTTGTATCACTTTACTGTTAGACAACCAAGATAGTGGCCTAAATGGCTTCGCTAGGCTTAATAATAGTATAACACCAACTACAACAGATCTACCAAAATGACTCTCTTTAAGGCCCTTTATGGTAGAGATGAGAGATCTACATACCATATTAAAAGGGGTTGCTAGGCCTTCTGTAGTAGATGAAATTGCCAACCTCGTGGCTGAAAAGGACTAAATGATTAATGATTTGAAGAATCATTTGATACACGCACAGAACAGAACAAAGTTGCAAGCTGAATAAAAAAAGGGATGTTGTTTATGAACCCGGGGACTTTGTGTAAAGAACTAATTCAACCCAAAATTAAAATATTTAGCCAAGAGAATAAATGAAAAACACAATCCATGGTATTATGGACCATATAAGATCTTGGAGACGATTGGATAAGTTGCATACAAGCTAGAATTACCGGTTGTTAGCTGCATCCACCCTATGTTTCATGTGTCACTGTTAGAGATAATATAAAAACCATTCATGTGTCTTCACTTAAGAGCTTAAGCTTTTGGGAGAGTTGGTTGATTGACATGGTATCAAAGTCTCTGTGACCAAGTGGTCTAGAGTTCGATTATTGCGTCCTATTCTTCTAATAAATATTTAATTGTAGAATTTCTTAGCACAAGTGGGTGGAGTTTGTGCATAGAGGTGTAAATGGGCTAGCTGGGCTAGGCTAAGCTTTAGCCTTAATAGCCTAAGCCTACGTATAATATTTAAAGCCTACACTGCCCTATTAGCCTATTAAAGACTTGGTTTATAGGCCTGACCTGACTCATTATAAAAAAACGAAAAAAGCCTAACATGGCCTATAAAGCCTAACATGACCTTTCTCATTCATTAAACTGTCTTTCCAGCAAGAGTCCAAATTATAAAAATCCTCAAACAGTTTTTTTAACAAGATCACAAGCATCCTTAAATAATGTTCATAACAAAACATAAAATAGTTATATTTAGGAGCTTTTTCTTTACTCTTGGCAGCCTTCATTAATATATTTTATTTTATTAAAAAAATTAAAAAGACAGCAGACAGCTAGACTTTTAGGCCAGGCTTTTTAGAGTGAGCCAATGGCCTAATTTTTAAATGGGTTTTTCTAAAAGCCTAAACCTGATTTATTTTCTAAATAGACTAGACCAGGCTGTAGATCCTTGATAGGCCGTCTCGTCCATTTACACCCCTATCTGTGCATTATCTACCCTTCAAGTCCAATGAGCTCTTCTGTGAAGGGCGTGTTAGAAATAATATAAAAATTATTCATGTGCCTTCATCTAACAACTTAAACTTTTGGGAGAGTTAGTTCCTTGACAGTCACTACTGAGGAAATCCATTTCTGCTACCATTGTAAACTAGTCCTTGCAACCAGTTCTATCTAAGGATTGGGAGTTCCTGAAAATTCTTATTAAATGGCAGGATCTCTAAGACTCGAAAACTCTTGGGAGTTCATGAAGGCGTACACAACGAGGAATCATAGAGGATCAAAGACCCTAGGAATCAAGGAAATCGGTGTGAGTGTAACTGTTTATAACTAACTTCTAGTAGGACTTACTGTAGTTGGGAGAGAAAACTCAACCTGGTTGTGACAAATATAAAGGGCGAGTAGAGTGAAGGAGGCAAGAAAGGAGTGTTTGAGGTTGGACTGGGAGACTTCAGGTCCTCTCTAATGCCCATGTTATTTTGTTCATTGTAAACAACTTATACCCCTATTGCTATCACACTGATACTGGTAGTTACGGTGGAATACTATAGTTCTTTTTAATTCTGTATCATCTAGTCCAATCTCTATCACCATGTAACACTACTTGTTACTACTTTGTAACTAAAAGATGTGCAAGAGACAGAAAGGACATTTATTGGGAAATAGATGTCCATCTACATTCTCTAGAAGTACAAATTAGTTCCTTTTTTATGGTGACACACTTCCAGCATTGAATATTAGGACAGGAAAACCTGGATTTAAAACAAAACATTCATGATTTAAAAAAAAAAAAACAAAACAAAACATTCACAAACTAGCAAAAGCATTCCATTCCACGAGCAACCAAAACAATGCCATACGTTATAAATGAAAAATTTTGTGCAAACAATATCTTTAATTAATTTGACACTAAAAATACCAGTGCCTTTATCCTCACCACAGAATAAAACTATCATGGTCACCAGTCAGGTTAAGTATCTACCCAAACCAAATAGGAAATTTATTTATAAAGCACAGTACTGCAACTATGACCCCCATAGAAGAAAGGCAAAAGAAGAAAGGAATTAAGAATAAATAAGGGCTTTATTTTTAAAAGTCTGCAAAAGTGAAAAAGCATTAGCGTGAAAATTATTAAAGATATTTGCATCTTCATACTGCTTACAAGCAAAAAAATACACCTTGTACCTGTTTCTCAGATTCTATAATTTCATATATTTTTAAAAAAAATTTGGACAACTATTAAATAACGAAAATTTTAACAGTTTCATCCAGAGCTACTGATTTGTCAAGTCAAAAAAATACGAAATCCACATTAAAAACAACATGAAAAGAAAAAACATAAGAAAACCAGAAATATATAGCCATGCACCTGGGATGAGGATTCCCCTTCACCATTTTTTGTCCATACTTGCGCCATCGGTATCCATCACCTGATATCCCCACATCTCCTGCTGCATGTACAACGAACTTTGGTTTCTTTCCAGGTTTTACTGGTGAATCCAAGCATGTTAAATCACCTTTCTTTGTTCTAGTTATCAAGTTAAAGGAAAGAACATTGAACCATTAGATCCTGCTACAATTAGAAAAAGTGCTTATTCTCTAAAAAAATTTCCTATGAAGAAAATGAATTCATATGCAACTTGCCTTCTTTTCAGCTCTGGCTCATTAACATGCTCCTCCTTCAAAATAACACTACCATTCTCACCGTTAGATGAGTTTTGTCGTTTCTTATCAGCATGGCAAGGTTCTTCCTGTAGAGGTTCTTTAGGAGAAAGTGAAGCATCAGAATCATTTAGAATTCTGATAGGCTGCTCCGGAACGGTGTTTTCTACACTAGGTTCATTGGAAGGCATGAACTTACTTTCCCTAGTGGAATAAGTCTTATGCGGGGGATCATGACTGTGTGGACTTCTATAAACAATATCTTTCACATGACCTGAATGGTCACAGCATTCAATCTTTTTAGCATAACAATCAGAATGAGTGCACCTGTAATAGCTTCTAGAACCTGTAGGACTCTTCACTTGCTTCTGACCATACTTGCGCCATTTGTATCCATCAGATGCAGAAGCCCTTGCAACAGAAACAGAAGATAAGATTTTACCACCACGAGTTTTTTTGTCTGCTTGCCGCACATGTACACTATTAACCTTTGGACGAGACAGTCTCTGTTCTGGTACAGTTGGACTAGGAGCAGGCGATGAATATTGAGTAGCAGAAGTTGGTGATAGTTCAGACCACGGAGTTGTACACACAGACACCTGAAGTTGATTTTCTGTCTGTGTTTGAGGTGCCTCAACTATGTCTTTTACAATAATTTCCTTGTCGGGAGGCCCAATTGACTCCTGAGCATAAAATGGTGTACTTCAATGCTATAGAAACTAAATATATGTGGGATGCACAGAACATGCAACTTTTTTAGACTTAATTTGAACCCAAAAATATTGCATCATGTTATGTTAGGCGTGGTTCATCGAGAAAGAAATTAAAGAACTAATTGTTTAATAAAACTTGAGTTTCCACCTGGGAGATGTTACTATGAATTTAAAAGAAAAAATATTTTTGTGAGTTGCACTTTTGAATCACCATTCATCATTGGATTATTTGTATTATTCATAGAAACATACAGATACCAAAATAATATTATGGACTGGATCCGTCATTAATGCAACTTGGGTGTACTGAGATGGAAAATACAAACTGCAAAATCAAGCTTTTTGGCTAGTTAAAGACCAATTATCCAATAAGAAACTTAAGTTGTAGGCGAAGGCCTAGGAATAGTTCAAATCTGTAACACGACCCTTCATTGGAAGGTTCTTTGGATTTGATCCTTGGACAAATAATGGATCCACCACACCTTGTTGTACTGAAATTTAAATTAATTATGAAGATAGAGGCTGCATGGACCAAACTCCTAGCCAATTATTCACGAAAGCAAGCTCTGATACCATATCAAGCCTAGATTTTGCTTTTGGATTCATGGCGGTTCTATTAAATGAATTTTTGGATTATTTTGGAATTATTCTATAATCAGAACCTGAATTTTGCTTCTCATTTTCTTTTTAAGTTTTATGTAATCCCAAGTTTCTAAGCCTCTACTAAATACTCATGTTTTTAAGGCCCACTAACAAGTCCTAAGCATCCAGAGTTCAAAACTGCAAAGAAGAAATTAATAAAAACCACTCCCCATTAAACGCCGACTAACAAGGGTAAGAGTGAGGCCAATCCTTGTATACAACTTTACCCTTGCATATTTGCAAAGAGGCTGTCACCTATCAGATTCGAAACCATGACTTTTTAGTCACTAAGGAATAGTTTTACCCAAAGCACTTGACTACAAAGAAGAAATTAATAGCTTATAAAAAAAGGGAAAGAAAAAAGGTGGAATACCTACACTTCATTTTGATAGCATATAACTTTCAACGAGTCCATGAGTTTCAAATTGTAAATCCACATCAAACACCAAATTCTAAAACAGAGATACAAAAATCCAGCAAACTTGTAGATTAAGCAACTCATAAGAACAACAAGCATTAATCTTTAAACGGGTTAGAACCACTTCTAGAATCCCGTATGTTAACCAGAGAAAAATTGCAGTATCGATTATAAGATAAATAGTGGCTGAGATTGCAAACAGAACATTAAAAAAAAAAAAAACCACACAGGAAAACGTGCTTTGAAATGTATGACTCAAAATTAAAAATATAGAAACGCTCTAACCTTACTTTCGGCTTCGTTACCCTTATGAGTGATGAAGCTTCTCTGCACATCTGCAGCATCAGCCACAGCTATTAATCACTACCTTGAACAAACAAACAAACAAAAAAATCGAAAGAAGAAGACTGAAAAGCGAAAGACAGTGATTGAAGATTTGAAACGCAGCGTACGAGGAGGGTGATCGTGCGGAAGCGAAGAGGGAACGACTAGGGTTTCTAAATTGGGTTGCGCTTCATCGTGAGGACTGGAAATGCGTAACTCGGTGGCATGCGGTGAGTTAGTGACTCGTGACTGCAACTCTTCTTCCTCTTCAGCTTTTTCATTTCGTTCCAGTGGAACAGCTTCCAAGTTGTTGTGGTGCTGCTCGGCCATGGAAGATGCAGTAATAGTTTTTGGAACAATTTTCGTTTTTCTGTTTTGCGATTTCACGAGGTTGCACGGATTTTCATTTTCATTTTCTGTTTTATTTTTATTTATTTATTTATTTATTTATTGAATGATAGAGAGTGTTTGCGAGTGTGCTTGCTTTAAAGAGAGGTGTTGTGCTGTGTTGGGGTATATGTGTCTTTGACTGGCTATTGACTCTCTCAGTCTCGCTCTCAAATGGGGTGTTGGGTTCTGCTACATCAAGGTAACACACGCCGTCCATATTTCGCCGTTGCGTTATTAACTGCATTTTAATTCGATGGTGTCATGCGTCATGATTTTAATCTTTTATAATTTTAATGGTAATTAATAATTGTTCTTCAATAATGATAATGATTTTGATACCAACACCTCAACCTAAAAGGTGCTTGAGAATCAAAAGTCCATTTAAATCTTACATCAGACTCTTGTATTTTCGATGTGAAACTCATGCAATTTGATCATAACATCTAAATAACATACATCTATTTTCGAGAAAAAAAAAATAAGGGATTTGAGTTCAACTGAGAGAATTTTGCCTCAAGCACATAAATAAGTGCACAAAATATTACTTCTTATCTAATGATTTTTATTCAAATACTTTAAGATTTAAATAAATAATACAAGTTAATCATAAAAAGAACTATCCATTAATATTAGATAGACTCTACTAATAGTTATGATCTATCATTTAGCAAAGTTAAAATTCAAATAACAAAATATACAAAATAATTACCCATTACTTAAACAACTCAACAAATCAAAAAATAATAAAAATAACAAACACATAGCAGATTCTCTCTCTTTCGATTTTACTATTCTTATCATAGAGTTGCATAAATAAACAAAAGGTTTGTTTTTTCTCCCGTCACTGCAGATAAGTTATCTGTAGTATGCACAATATGACGTCATTTTGGGACGGAAATTATGGTATTTTTATAATTTTAATTTATTTCAAGATTATTATAGTCTTTATAATTATAATTTTTTAATCTTTCAATTCCAAAACAACATTGTTTTGGGAGTAAATACAAATAACTTATATGTTATAACTGCATAAATATTTTTCTCATAAATATAATGGGAGCTCAAGCAACAAAAAGGTGAAATCCAAAAACTCATCTTTTAAAACTAATGATGGTTGTTATAAGTGTGGTAGAACAGTCTTAGGGTCAAAGATTGTCCTGGATTAGAGCAAGAAGCCAAGAAAGAGAAGAAGGAAAAAGAAAACAAAAACTTTGAGAAGAAAAAGTTCAAGAAAGCAATGATGGCTGCTTGAAGTGACTCTAAATCAGAAGAAGAAGGCTCTGAAAGTAATGAGATTGAAGCAAACATTTGTCTTATGGCTGGAACTGACTCTGAAGATGAAGACCATGAGGTAAATTTTCTTGAGCTAAAATCATCCATGCATAAGTTATCCAAGAAACATTTGATACAAGAGTTGGACTTTGTAATAGATGAATACTTGAAAATGTGTGGGTACAATGATGAGTTGTTAAATGATTTTGGTGAACTAAAGAATGAGCTTAAGAACTTTTCTAAGGCTAACAAAGAATTAAAGAAATCAAATGATAATCTTAAAGAGAAGATCACTAGGCTTAAGAGCACTACTTCTGAATTAGAAAGCAAGAATGTCTCTTTGATAGAGAAATTACAAGAAACCAAGAAAAAGGAATGTGTTATGATAGATGATGCCTATTTGGATGAAGAGATTAAGCAATTAGAGAGCAAGGTAGAATAACTGACTAAAGAGAAACAAGACCTCCAAAATTAGATAGAAATTGCCCTTAGGATTCCAGAGGTAGATAGACCAAATATTGTTGACTAGTTGAATAAGAATTGCAATAAATCTTGGCATGGGTTAGGATTTGAAGGAAGTAAGAAATCTGCTTGGAAAACCAAAACTAAGCATGTGAACTTGTATGAGAATAGGGAATGTTATTATTATGCCAATATAAAGCCATCTAAAATTTGAGTGCAAGGCTATGATAAAAGCTATTCAAAAGAATGTATCATATATTAAAAATAGTTTTGTTTCTGCATGCAATGTAAAACAAATCTGGATTAGAAAAGACGAGATTTCTAATTTTTTTGCAAAGAGGAAGGGACATAAGCTAATCTAGGTTCTCAAATCTAATCATTCATTTAAGAATGCAGGTTGGAGTAAGGGGGAACAACTCATACCTTGACAAGGCTATTCTAAGAACATGACAAGAGATGTTTCCATATTTCTCTCACCCAAACCATTCTAAGATGGATTTGTGACTTTTTGTGACAACTACTTTTTGTGACACAATCCATTGATAATATTTATTATGTCAAGGGATTAAGGTATAATGTTAAGTTAAAAGTCATTGTTGCACATGATCATGGCATTGGTAGTATATCAACTTAATCACGTGTGTTTGCTGATGTGCTGAATTTTGATATTGCTAAGCTATTTTTTTCATAACTTGAGCTAGAAAAATCATTTTTTAATGAAACTAGTTGCTATTGAAAGCTAAGATGATAAGCTTTAAGATTGGAAAGTTTCAGAATTTCGGATGTGTATACTATTCTTAGTTAATCTGTCAATGTGACTGGAATGTTGATTACTCTATTTTTCGATAGCGTACTTTAACTAGTTATATTTTGAGTTACATAATTCCAATTTCAGTGATCTATACTTTGTTTGAAAGCTTGAGATGTGTAATATAATATTAAAAAAATAGAATTTTTGGTGTTATCATGCATTCCTAATGTTAAATAGGAGTTTACTAGTTTTTTAAAAAAAAATGATTGAGAAATTTGTTTTTCCTCCCCAATGATTGGCTAGTTAAGATAACTTAATCTTTCATGATAGAAATTCTTGTGCATAAAATATCTTTGAGTTATCACAAGCAACTGTGTTTGTTATTTAAGCATAACCATCAAGACTTATCTTATCACCTTAATCATGACTCTTTCTAACCACAGATATTCATTTAGCTGGAGCAACTTGTTAAATTCAATATTTTCTTGCTTGAATGATATTTCTTGAGTGCATGACTTGATTTTGTGGTAAATTGAGTGTTGGAGTGCATATACAATATTTATGTGAGATAAATGAGGAAAGACAATCTAGAACTTGTACGATTGAGGCTCAAGACTCACTATTAGATTACTCTATGGGATCACTAAAAAGAAAATAGATCATCTTTGGACGTTTGAGCCTTCTTCCTTTCCTTCCCCCTTTTTCCCTTGGATCCCATTCATTTTCTTCCCTTCCAAACTCCTAAACAAACCCTTAATGTTTTCTAAAGGTGTTGGTATGCATAGTCTATGAAATCATATCACAAAATTGAATCACAAGGGCCAGAAAATAAGAATCAGAGGAGCATTCATACAATAGCAAAACAAAAAGAAAGAAAGAAGAAGAAGAAGAAGAAAAGTCAACGAAAAAAAATCAAAGGGAGTTCATAAAAAAAGAAAAAGAAAATGAGGATAGTAGTATAACTACCATACCTTTGAGATTTTAAAATGCCATATGAATATTAAATTAAATAAGCTCTTTAAAATAAAGTTTTGTAAGTATGGATTAGATAAGTCTTTTATATGGATATTAATAAGTAAATCATGTTAGAAACATGATATTATAAATAAGAATGCCTCTCATGCCAAGCAAGTCCAATAAGATCCTAATATTAATAATTAATAAGTTTTAGGGTCAAAATGTAACTATGAGAAAGTTTAGGGGTTTTTTTTTGGTGTGGAAAGTTTAGGGGTTTAATTATAATTAAAACTAAACTAGTCTAAATTTTAATTAGATGATGTAATTAAATTCCTTAGAGAATTTTAAGAACTTTAAGGGGTTTTAGTTTTGTTCAAATATGTCTAAATTAATTGTTAAAAATAGGATAAGGGTAGATTAAATCAATTATTAGAAGAATATAATGTGATAGTCTTGTAAATTTAATTAGTTTTAAAGTTATTAGTATGTGTTGGTGGTAATTTAAATAAAAATTATGCTCTTTTTTGTTCCCTTATCAGCGCACATGTGGGAGAGGATTTAGGGTGCAAATATATTAGCCAATAAGAAGCCAAGAAGAACAGCGCACATGTTCTTCTTGTCTTAAATGATATATTAAGATTCACTAAGGAATTTTAAGTTAGATGTTGTTCCCACTTATGCATCAATTTTCTTTCTTTTAAAACACAAAAACCTGCACATGTTCTTCTTGCAAAACCGAGACATGCTTGAGAGGAAGAGTGATGAAAGAACATGGTCTTCTAGTCTTTAAATCATCTAGCTCTTTTGAGAAAAAAGATTCCTTAGTGAATGGAGATTAAAACCTTGTTCTTTTTTCTTCTTGAAGAGATGAGTTGATGGAGTTTTCTTCTTCCTCTTCATGCGCATATCAAGCAGTCCTCTTTGTTTAATGATGGATTTTCATGTCTTTTTGAAGTAAAATAGAAGTAGTAGTCTTCTAGTAATGTTTAAGGTAACTAAACTACCTTTCCTTGATTGTATTACATGGATTTCAAATTAGGTTTATGAATTTGGGGGCGGATTTTTATGGAAAATTATGATGGATTCATGATGAGTTTATATGCTCTAATTGATGTTTAAATTGATAATTAATGGTTTAATTGATGAATCAATGTATTGGGTGATTGAAAATCAAAACATGGAAGGCCTAGAATTACCTTGTAAGTGGCGGCCTGTAGGTGTAAAAGTATGCATGTTAAGTGTTTGATTAAATGCTTAAGAGAAATCAAAGATTGTTTAAGTAATGATTAAGATTCAACTGTAAGAAAAAAACGGATAAGTTCCAAGGAACTAACTTGTAGTCCAAATTGGTTATTTGAAGAAATTAATAGTGTAATTAGTTTTACATGTTTTCATGTTAAATTAAGATGTATGTTAAGTGTTTAAGTACTCATGAACATGATTAGGTAGAATAAAATATAAGAGAAATACATAGTCTTTGGCTATGTATATTTTCGGCCTTTGTGAGCCAAGTATGTATAGGTTGAATTAAGTTGTATTCAATGATGGTTTAAGTGATTAAAATGGTTGTTTGTTTTAGGATTTCTATGAAACTTGATTAGGGGA